TTCATCAGCAAATAAAAGCCCATTGTCTCTTCTCAGTTCGAATTCATGTGTTTATACATATGTAACAGTATTTTTGCTTTTTCAGATTTCTTACTTTGTGTGCTACTCGTCAGTAACTCGTTTACAGTTACTTTGTGTGCTACTCGTCAGTAACTCGTTTACAATTACTTGGTGTGCTACTCGTCAGTAACTCGTTTACAGTTACTTTGTCTGCTACTCGTCAGTAACTCGTTTACAATTACTTTGTGTGCTACTCGTCAGTAACTCGTTTACAGTTACTTTGTGTGCTACCCGTCAGTAACTCGTTTACAGTTACTTTGTGTGCTACTCGTCAGTAACTCGTTTACAATTACTTTGTGTGCTACTCGTCAGTAACTCGTTTACAGTTACTTTGTGTGCTACTCATCAGTAACTCGTTTACAATTACTTTGTGTGCAACTCGTCAGTAACTCGTTTACAGTTACTTTGTGTGCTACCCGTCAGTAACTCGTTTACAGTTACTTTGTGTGCTACTCATCAGTAACTCGTTTAAAGTTACTTTGTGTGCTACTCGTCAGTAACTCGTTTAAAGTTACTTTGTGTGCTGCCCGTCAGTAACTCGTTTAAAGTTACTTTGTGTGCTACCAGTCAGTAACTCGTTTACAGTTACTTTGTGTGCTACTCGTCAGTAATTTGTTTACAGTTACTTTGTGTGCTACTCGTCAGTAACTCGTTTACAGCTACTCGTCAGTAACTCATTTACAGTTACTTTGTGTGCTACTCGTCAGATATAAAGGAGGAGTAAAATTGCCTATATGTGCCAACTTTGGCACATTAATCAATTTTCAACAATATTTGATAGTAATATTCTGTAATTTTATATTGATTATTCAATCGTCACGATAATATTGCTAATACTCTATATATTGCCCTGCCATAATTGACTGTTGGTGTTTTTTATCATACACCACCCTTAAAAAATCATTGTGAAAGTGATTGCAATGATTTTGCTTCTCTGTGCCATCATCGTTATATTTTTAGTGTGGACTCTGCTAGTCTTTTAAATTTTGAATGATTTTTACTTATCTTTATTATTATCTTTATAGTTATAGTTCTTGGTGTGAAAGGGCCTTTCTTGATATTTATTTTAGTGCACAGATTATGCTGATATTTTGCATGTGTCTGCTAGGTGTGAGACGTGTTTCACACAGCTATAAATCTTTTTTTATGATAAAGATTCAATATTCCGTTAGCCCTGTGTAGCTGCTGTAGGCTAGCCGTCAACACCTCGATGGCAAACGCTCATTAAGCCATAAATACCAATTCATGTGTGCGATATTGGGAGTAGTTCAAAACCCAAATATTCCCTCCAGTTTAACAGGTTTGTGTTGACTGCATTCCATGCCACCATGTCAGTGGAAAACAGCGGTAGTCAGGTCAACTCAATCCGTTTCTTTTTCTGAGTGAAGTTTTCCAGGCCCCATCTACAGCAAATTAGCTTTTCACCTTGTCATGGCTGACACGCTGACAAAACAAATAAATAGCCAAGTATCAAAGTCTCTGTGATGAATATTTTCAGACTTTTCAGTTTATCTTCTCAAGCCTGGTGGTCTACGGTTATGAGAAGCTGCCCTCTTGGCTGTTCCAGACCTCCAGGGACAACAAATGAAGTAATGTTGCAATTTGGTTGCATCAATGTCGACTCGACATTGCCTAAATGAAAACCTTGCTAAAAATGTTCAAGTTCAGATGTTCAAGGACTTTGCAGTAAAACCACTTTAGCCCATTCCCGATTCATCTTAGCTCTAGACCAACACTACAGCACTGTTACACTTCTGGAGTGACACAACCCTCGGTTTGAATAATTTATTACACCTGTAGGTTGAGTAACACCACTGAGATCCATCAGGCTGGATCTGAAAGCTGAAAAACGCTGCCTTCGCAAACGTAGCTGTCTATGGTATCCCTCAATCTTGTGTGTGTGGTTGGTGGAAAGAATAATAACGGCACCTGACAGAGCTGCTAAAAGAAGTGAATGGTTTTAATTGTGTAGTTTTCTTCAACTTGTGAATAATTTTTGATGAGAAATAAGCACTGTAGTTACTGAATATTTGCTTGGTTATGTCTAAAGTGCATGTGAATTTTTTCTAGTTTGTCAGACATAAAATGAATGTATTAATATGCTAAATTTAGGGGTAGATAATGTACTGAGTGACAAGCTAAAATAGGATGTCAAAGGAAGCAGATGGGAGAAAAACAAATAAGAAATGTAAAATATATACTAGAATACATGGTCCGTTAAAGGGGTCATATGATGCTGCTAAAAAGAACATTATTTTGCAGCTACTTTTAAACGGACATTGATGGATTTTTGCCTAAAATAAAACTATTAAAAAAATTTTTTTGGTTATTAAAATAAAGCTGAAGTAATTGAACATAAATATAAAATGAAACATTACAATTTTAAACTATTGTCTTGTCAACTAACTGAACAATTTTAAGATGAAGTACTAAAACGACTAAAACTGAAATAGAAATGAATTAAAACTAAACAAAAACACAACTATGTTTATGTAATTTAGAAAGCACATACAGCAAGTGCTGATCAACAACCAACCAACTAACAAACAAACAAATAAAGATTCAAACAAACACAGAAACCAAGATGTTAGATGTTAAAACTCAAAGAAAATAAGTTTTACGGGAAGATTTAATGCATTAACTAACAATGAGCAATTTATTTGTTACAGTATGTATTAATGTTAGTTAATAAAAATTACAAACGTTTATTGTTTGTTCATGTTAGCTTATAGGTCAATTAACTAATAGATACATCTTTTGATTAAATTTTTTTTTTTTATTACATTAACTGAGATCAATTACATGAACTGAGATTACTCTTTTTCATTGTTAGTTCATGTTAACAAATAAAGTAAATGTTAACAAATAGAACCTTATTATAAAGTGTTACTAAAAAAATGAAAACTGATAACAAAAGCTAATTCATAATACTATAAAAGTATATAAATTATACTCAAATAACACAGCTGATATTGCACAATATCTGCAATATCAGCAGGGTCAAAGCTAATTAGACTATGATAATCAGTTAAACTTTGACAACCATCACAGGTCAAAGGTTATTTAAGACTTCAGAACACACTAGGGCCGATGCGTAAAATATGAGACTGAAAAGAAAGAGATATACACTCTTAAAAATAAAGGTGCTTCAAAAGGTTCTTCACAGCGATGCCATAGAAGAACCATTTTTGGTTCCACAAAGAACCATTCAGTCAAAGGTTCTTTAAAGAACCATCTCTTTCTTACCTTTTTGTAATCTGAAGAACCTTTTTTCACCACAAAGAACCTTATGTGAAACAGAAAGGTTCTTCAGATGTTAAAGGTTCTTTATGGAACCATTTAGACAAAAAGGTTCTTCTATGGCATCGTGAAGCACCTTTTTTTTTTAAGAGTGTACCTGAGCCCGAAATGTCTCTTGATGGTCAAATTTAGAAGTGAAAAATAATAGATGATCAGGTTGTTTTGAATAGACCCAAGGCAGAAACATCTGGCGCCAGAGAGGAAATTACATCTGTTGAACAATAATTCAGAGTGGAACGTTTTTCCTCTTTTATTGTTTTTTGTTTCCTCTCCTCTCCACTCTTCCTCTCTGATGGATGGTAAAATGTGCAGGTGTGGGTTTTCTTTGATATGAGAGTCCACATGTTTCATTCAGAGGGTTCTTGGCTGCCTTCGGAAGAAACTGTCAAAGCCAGAGCCTCTCATTTTTCAGAGATTGTCCAGGTCTCTGACTGGAGGTGTTGTCTAGATCAGGCAGGGTTTATAATCAACACTATTGATTAGATGATATTGGCACAGCTGAAGTAATAAGCACATACAAACTCTGCACTCCATTAATTAATTGAACTGGAAATTGAGAGAGGCATCCATGATGATAATAATAATAAAAAGCACAAGGCCAGATTTTCACATGTCGTAATCAAGGGTCGTATTGTTGCTGTGTTTTTGAAGCCAGCCAACCGATTCATTTTCATTTGAAACGTGAGATCTACTGTGTTGGATTACTCATAATTACTCTAGTATAATCAATATTGTGCAGCGTTTCATCTTGATTGCATTTAAAGCTTAATGAATATCGTACTGTTGATCAATGATCATGAGCGTGTGTCTAAAGCTCCAGCGATTACAGGAAAGGTAAAATATGTGACCATGGAGCCATGATGGTAAATTAATGAACTCATAAACTAATCAAGCATAAACTCATAAACTAAATATCACTATATTTCTCTGCAACATGCAGACCTTAATTAAACAAATCAGTGGTTTTCAACTGTTCCAAAATGAGTCACAGTTCTGGTCTGATTAGCAGGGAAAACAATGCTAAATAAGTAATAAAATGCAAACTGTATAACCATAGTCTTATGAACTTTTAAATGGGATCATTCACATAACACATAATTACACATACACATAATTATTTATTTTCCTTTATTGGGTCTAATTTTAGTAATTTGACATATTGCTGGATCTGTGCAGTTCATGGTTATAGTAATACATTTCATGTTTGATTATGAAGACATTTTGGTTTTTATGCAATGTATTTTTATTTTTATGAAATGTACATATATTTATAATATGACTTACATTACCATTTAAAAGTTGGGGATTAGTACAATTTTTAAACAAATTAATCATTCAATTTATACTAAAATAATGCTAAAACTAAGCAAAGATTAACTAAATAGATCAAAAGTGACAGTAAAGGTATTTTTATTTCAAATAAATGCTGTTTGTTTGAACTTTCTATTAACCAAAGTATCCTGAAGAAAAAGAAAACATTTAAAATTCCAAAAAAAATATGAAGCAGCCCAACTATTTTCAACATTGAGAATGTTCCTTAATGTACGTTTCTTGATTTCTGAAGGAAAATGTCTGACACTGATATGATTGTCATTGCCGCTGACCTCTCTGTTTCTCTCTCTCTTTTCTTCTGGTTTTAGGGATCTCAGTATGAACAACATCAGTGAGATTCAGCCCAACGCTTTCCACGACCTGCACTTCCTCAGTGAACTGTAAGTACATTTGAAGGGCATTTAAACTCGCTCCGCCGTGTATTTCAGCTGCGTTCACCTCTATGGTGTGACAAAACGGTGTATACAAAAAATCCAGTTGATGAGTGGTTATTTATGTGAAGTGGTTCAGTGAAGGTTAAGTTGGAGACTGACGTAATTCCAGATGTGTTATACAAGACCTAGATCGAAGTGTACCATAAAATCAGGAATAAACAAATAAATGAAATCAGCAGCTCTGCTGATAATGACCTTAGCATGCCTTGTGTATTTGGATAGTTGATGTAGTTGATTTGTTTTTATTGAAATATTATTTTTAAATGTATTACCATATATTTTTTATCAAATTGGGTAACACTTTACAATAAGGTTTGATTTATTAACATTAGTTAACTACGTTAGTTAACTTGATCTAACAAGGAAAAATACTTGTAAAGCGTATATTAATTAATGGTAATTTTAATATTTACTAATACATTATTAAAGTCAAACGTTGTGTGTGTGTGTGTGTGTGTGTGTATACAATATATTATTAAATGGACCTGATCTAACATGAATTAAAAATGAACGGTTGCATTTTTATTAACTAATGTCAACACACATTAATACATACTGCGACAAATGTATTTATCATTGTTAGTTATTGCATTAATATAAAGTGCTACTTGAAATTGCATTTTTTTTTTCTTTTAGGTTTTAAATAATTTCAGTTCGCTAGTTCATTTTAGCGTGCAAAAATCACTTAATTGTTTTTTCTTATTTATTTTATTTTAATAAAAACAGCTAAACTTGTTAAAATGATTAATTTTAATGTACTGAGGATTAAATAATTACAATAGTTCTTTATTCCTTGTCCCATTATTTCTTATTATTTTCTATATTTTGTTAAACATTTGAATTATTTTTGTGCAGTTTTGCTTCTCAAGTCAATTCGTTTTTTTTTTCTAAAAAATATTTTTCGATTTTTACCAGAAAATAAGACAAGCAAGAATAGTTTTTTCAATGTAGTTATTAATGAGTTAATATGAATGCATACATTTGAAAATAATAATAATAATAATAATAAAACATTGAAAAAAAAATAAAATGTTTAAAATAAAACTAAGTTGTAATATAGCATGTTACACGGCAGGAAACCCATTTATATTGGGTTTTTATTATACCAACATTTTATTTTTGGTGAAAATGTACAATTTTCAGTTTCCTATGTCACGTTTCTGAGACAGATTTATGCCACACTGCATGTGTCAGACACAAATGTTTTGTTCAAAGCTCAAAGATGTACAGAGATGCTGCAGTACTTCCTGCAGCTTCATCAGAGCCACATAAAAGATCAAACCTATTTTATACCAACATCGAGCATGTACACACAACCTGTCTAGACCTTTACATGTCAGCCATCCATCAAAAGAAGTTGAAGGCTAAAGCAATATAGCATGTCTTCTCACACTTTTCCCCCTGAAGGACCAATTAGCTCAGGTGAGACCTAGCGTAACCCCTCTGAGAGTCTCTGGAGAGCGTTAAGGTTGAAATGAAAAGCACCTGGCGGCTCACACATGGTGCCGGCGGCAGCGGCAGCAGCAGGTCTGCAGAGCAGCTGGGACTCTCGGACACCTGACTGACACAAACAGGATGGATTGGGATTTGGGAATGGCCAGAGCTGTCGGAAAGTGTTGCAGGACGTGCAGACGGCAGGAGGGCTGCAGGAAATGTAGCATTTTTGTAGGAGTCAATATTTATGGCATGGCTGTCAAAGCAAACGGCAATTCCTCATTCCACTTCACAGAATTAGTCCTCGCTTCCCTGGGAATGGTGTGCTGTTGCTACATTTCAAACAACAGGGTGAAGTGGGGGAAATGTCGAAGCTTCAACAAAATAGCAAACCTGAAGCCGTTCTGTACGTCCTGAAACCTCTGTTCAACTCACAATCACAATGCGTCTTGACTCAGTACAGTATGAAACATACAGTATCATGATTTTATCTCCATTGAAACAGAGGTATATTTAAAATAAAAAGAAAGAAAGAAAAGATAAGAAATTACTTGAAATAAATCTTAATTGAAATAAAATATTTTTTATAAAACTTATTTTATTTCTATTAATTTCCCAAGGCAATATTTCTCATCTAGATTAACTTACTATATAATATGTATTTACTAGATGTACTAAAATAAAACTGTATATACATACTGTAAACAAATTTTAAAAAAATGACAAAAACACAGCAAAATAACTAAAACTTTAACTAACATTAACATGAACATTGTATAAATATATATAAATGAAATTAATATAAAAATAAAATTTAGAATATTAACAAAAACTATAATAGAACTATACCATAAGATACTATTATAGTATCTCAATAATATTAAAATAGCACTTCTTTCTGATTGTTTCTTAGTTCAAATTGCACACATAAATTTAACTTATACATTTAAAAAAATCAAGAAAAAAAAGAGTTCAAAATGAATGTATTCCTATAAAACAGTATTGAAATATATTTAAATAAATACAATTTAATAATGCAGTAAAAATTATATATTGATACAAAGATCTAAAATATTGATGCAACATATCAAATTATTGATATAGGATTATATTTTATTATTAATATATGATTGCTTTTGCACAAACCTAGAATATACCATTCTCTCCTAACTTATAATTGGATTGAAGAGCCTAATATTTCACAATATCTTAAGATGATGAGTAAAACTTCATTGTACTTTTGCAAACTCTGGAAAAAAAAAAGTTTGTGCTAATTAAAATCATGCACCTCTTCATTAACCTAAATTAAGATATTAAATGAATGCACACATCATTACACATAATAACAACTATCAATATCTAACGTGTAGACACAAGAAAGTGAGGAAAAAAAGTGTCATACTGAAATATGATTTTAATGCCCTATAGTAACGTTGTACACCTCTTTAAAAATCACATCGTTTTTTATTTTGACTGTAGTTGTTGTTAAGGAATATAATGGGCTTCTTTGTTTCTATTCAATAGCTGCATTATGAACAGTAAGAAACTCCTCGAGACAGTTTGTCTGAAAACACATGACAGTGATATTAGTGGGCGATAAATGATGCTGGGAATGATGAATTTGTGTGTTTTCACCCTTTCTGGTACTCGTTTACACCCCTAGGCACCGCAGTTTGCGCAGAATAATTTCACGAGTCTAAATTACAATTTTGAGGATCATCTGTAAAGTTCTTTGCCCCGGGGTCAGCGGCGGGCTCTTTGGGAGTTTTCACTTTTTCTTTTAGTCTCTGTTACACCTTAAGCTGCCTACCAAACGCGAATGATTAATTGGAACAATCAGATGTGATCAAATGTATAAGATGAGAGAACACAGACAAGTCTTTACGTTTATTGTCCAGAGAGGCGGATTTGACCCGACCCAAGCGCTATCCCTCCACATCCTGTGTTTGAGTTATGCGGTGCGTGTCTACTTCAATCAGAACTGAGACTGAGCCATCAATATCTGCTTGTTCACTTCTGTAACACTATAACCCACCGAAGTCCCTCAGCATTACATAAACTACTCCCATGACCTGCGACTGTCAGATTCTGGCTGCTGTCCTATCAACTCCAAGGTCATCTGTGAGTGTGGAAGGGGGAAGAGGAAGTCTTGTTGTGCACCTTTGGGACAGATGAAACGCAATCTGAGCCGAGTATGTCCTTCTACTTCCTAAACCCCACCATTTGACTTCAGCTCTAGCTCACCTTCTTCAGAGCTGATGATTTTCTGAGCTCACACAAGAACTCTCATCCAAAAGCTAGTTTGTACTGTCTATATACTGGAGCAAATCTAAACTAAATAGAAATTATTTCTAGAGACATACTCTGCACACCACTCAACACACACTCACATTTAAATCCAACAAAATTGGAAAAAGACTAATGGAGTTACTCTAATAAGCCTAAAAAGTACATAACACACAAATATTAGGTAGAACTTTATAAATATATATAAACAATACAATTATTTCATTAGATTTAACTGCTTTCTTCGAAAATGACCAGTAATTAGTGAAATCTGTCTTTTCGGTAACTGAAATAAAATTATTTATGCAATGCATTCTGGGATTGATTTCCCCCCTAAAATATGTAGTGCTGCATTAAACTTTGGCCAACATGTAATTTTATTGGACATGTAATTGTTTGCAATTAAATGAAAATGTATTTTAGTTTAAATTTATATGAAATGCAGTTAGCTAAACTTTACAGTGCTTTTTGACACTTTAAGTAGGACCTAAGTACATCTTTATATGTAATTTTGTATTTGTGGTAAATTTATGGTATGGCATTTATGGTAAAAAATATACCTAATTTCAATAGGAATATGTATGTATTGGATATACTGTAAATACAGTATATTTGTAATTACACATTTGTAATGATGAAGTTGCAGTTTAATAAACCATTTAAAATATATTACCTGTAAATGTAACATTATATTATAATGAATAAATATTATTATACAATTAATCAAGTACTTTGATTACAATTTACTTGATTAAATTGTACTTATTATACAGTTTAATCAAGTAAAACATAAAATGATATTAAAACAATGATTTAAAATGTACTTTAAAGTAAAACTTCTAATTTAACTTTTAATTATTACTAAGTGCAAAATGCAGTTAGGCCTACTTAAGTGTGTTAAAGGGTTAGTTCACCCAAAAATGAAAAATTTGTTTTACTCACCTCCGAGGCATCCTAGGTGTATATCACTTTCTTCTTTCAGACGAATACAGTCAGAGTTATATTAAAAATTGTCTTTGATCTTTCAAGCTGTTTTAAACCAGTCTCCTCTTGGCTCATATCGAAATCCTCTGACATGCTTCTTTACAAATCCTCGTGCTTCTAATTCTTGATCGTTGTTTTGTTTTGATCTCTCCCCTGCATTTCCGCGTGCGTCACTCTAGGATTCCTCGGGGGTGAGTAAAACGCAGCCTAATTTTCATTTTTGGGTGAACTAACCCTTTAAA